TCAACACTGCCCGTAGACTCAACACCTGAGACTCAACACTGCACCATAGACTCAACACTGCACCAGAGACTCAACACTGCACCATAGACTCAACACTGCACCATAGACTCAACACTGCACCATAGACTCAACACTGCACCACAGACTCAACAATGCACCATAGACTCAACACTGCACCATAGACTCAACACTGCCCATAGACTCAACACTGCCCATAGACTCAACACTGCACCAGAAACTCAACACTGCACCATAGACTCAACACTGCACCATAGACTCAACACTGTCCCATAGACTCAACACTGCACCAGAGACTCAACACTGCCCATAGACTCAACACTGCACCAGAGACTCAACACTGCACCATAGACTCAACACTTCACATTAAACTCAACACTGCACCATAGACTCAACACTGCACCATAGACTCAACACTACCCATAGACTCAACACTGCCATAGACTCAACACTGCACCATAGACTCAACACTGCACCATAGACTCAACACTGCACCATAGACTCAACACTGCACCACAGACTCAACACTGCACCACAAACTCAACAATGCACCATAGACTCAACACTGCCCGTAGACTCAACACTGCACCATAGACTCAACACTGCACCACAGACTCAACAATGCACCATAGACTCAACACTGCACCATAGACTCAACACTGCACCATAGACTCAACACTGCCCATAGACTCAGCACTGCACCATAGACTCAACACTTCCCGTAGACTCAACACCTGAGACTCAACACTGCACCATAGACTCAACACTGCACCATAGACTCAACACTGCCCATAGACTCAACACTGCACCAGAGACTCAACACTGCACCATAGACTCAACACTGCACCATAGACTCAACACTGCACCAGAGACTCAACACTGCACCGTAGACTCAACAATGCACCATAGACTCAACACTGCACCATAGACTCAACACTGCCCCATAGACTCAACACTGCCCATAGACTCAACACTGCACCAGAAACTCAACACTGCCCATAGACTCAACACTGCACCATAGACTCAACACTGCACCGTAGACTCAACACTGCACCATAGACTCAACACTGCCCCATAGACTCAACACTGCACCATAGACTCAACACTGCACCATAGACTCAACACTGCACCATAGACTCAACACTGCACCATAGACTCAACACTGCCCCATAGACTCAACACTGCACCATAGACTCAACACTGCACCATAGACTCAACACTGCACCATAGACTCAACACTGCACCATAGACTCAACACTGCCCATAGACTCAACACTGCACCATAGACTCAACACTGCACCATAGACTCAACACTGCACCATAGACTCAACACTGCACCAGTAGACTCAACACTGCACCATAGACTCAACACTGCACCATAGACTCAACACTGCACCATAGACTCAACACTGCACCATAGACTCAACACTGCACCAGAGACTCAACACTGCACCATAGACTCAACACTGCCCATAGACTCAACACTGCACCATAGACTCAACACTGCACCATAGACTCAACACTGCACCATAGACTCAACACTGACCATAGACTCAACACTGCACCATAGACTCAACACTGCCCATAGACTCAACACTGCACCATAGACTCAACACTGCACCAGAGACTCAACACTGCCCATAGACTCAACACTGCACCATAGACTCAACACTGCACCGTAGACTCAACACTGCACCATAGACTCAACACTGCCCATAGACTGAACACTGCATCATAGACTCAACACTGCACCGTAGACTCAACACTGCCCCGTAGACTCAACACTGCACCATAGACTCAACACTGCCCCATAGACTCAACACTGCACCAGAGACTCAACACTGCCCATAGACTCAACACTGCACCAGAGACTCAACACTGCACCATAGACTCACCACTGCCCATAGACTTAACACTTCACCATAGACTCAACACTGCACAATAAACTCAACACTGCACCATAGACTCAACACTGCCTGTAGACTCAACACTGCACCATAGACTCAACACTGCCCATAGACTCAAAACTGCCCATAGACTCAACACTGCACCAGAAACTCAACACTGCCCATAGACTCAACACTGCACAATAGACTCAACACTGCACCGTAGACTCAACACTGCACCATAGTCTCAACACTGCCCATAGATTCAACACTGCACCATAGACTCAACACTGCACCGTAGACTCAACACTGCCCCGTAGACTCAACACTGCACCAGACTCAACACTGCACCATAGACTCAACACTGCACCATAGACTCAACACTGCCCGTAGACTCAACACTGCACCATAGACTCTACACTTCCCGTAGACTCAACACCTGAGACTCAACACTGCACCATAGACTCAACACTGCACCATAGACTCAACACTGCCCATAGACTCAACACTGCACCAGAGACTCAACACTGCACCATAGACTCAACACTGCACCATAGACTCAACACTGCACCATAGACTCAACACTGCACCAGAGACTCAACACTGCACCATAGACTCAACACTGCACCATAGATTCAACACTGCACCAGAGACTCAACACTGCACCATAGACTCAACACTGCCCATAGACTCAACACTGCACCATAGACTCAACACTGCACCATAGACTCAACACTGCCCATAGACTCAACACTGCACCATAGACTCAACACTGCCCATAGACTCAACACCGCACCATAGACTCAACACTGCACCATAGACTCAACACTGCACGATAGACTCAACACTGCCTGTAGACTCAACACTGCACCATAGACTCAACACTGCCCATAGACTCAACACTGCCCATAGACTCAACACTGCACCATAGACTCAACACTGCACCATAGACTCAACACTGCACCATAGACTCAACACTGCACCAGAGACTCAACACTGCACCACAGACTCAACAATGCACCATAGACTCAACACTGCACCATAGACTCAACACTGCCCATAGACTCAACACTGCACCATAGACTCAACACTGCACCATAGACTCAACACTGCCCATAGACTCAACACTGCACCATAGACTCAACACTGCACCGTAGACTCAACACTGCCCCATAGACTCAACACTGCACGATAGACTCAACACTGCCATAGACTCAACACTGCACCATAGACTCAACACTGCCCATAGACTCAACACTGCCCATAGACTCAACACTGCACCAGAGACTCAACACTGCACCATAGACTCAACACTGCACCATAGACTCAACACTGCACCATAGACTCAACACTGCACCAGAGACTCAACACTGCACCATAGACTCAACACTGCACCATAGACTCAACACTGCACCATAGACTCAACACTGCACCATAGACTCAACACTGCACCACAGACTCAACAATGCACCATAGACTCAACACTGCACCATAGACTCAACACTGCCCATAGACTCAACACTGCACCATAGACTCAACACTGCACCATAGACTCAACACTGCCCATAGACTCAACACTGCCCCATAGACTCAACACTGCACCATAGACTCAACACTGCACCATAGACTCAACACTGCCCCATAGACTCAACACTGCCCCATAGACTCAACACTGCACCATAGACTCAACACTGCACCATAGACTCAACACTGCACTATAGACTCAACACTGCACTATAGACTCAACACTGCCCCATAGACTCAACACTGCCCATAGACTCAACACTGCACCATAGACTCAACACCGCACCGTAGACTCAACACTGCCCCGTAGACTCAACACTGCACCATAGACTCAACACTGCCCCATAGACTCAACACTGCACCATAGACTCAACACTGCCCTGTAGACTCAACACTGCACCATAGACTCAACACTGCACCATAGATTCAACACTGCACCAGAGACTCAACACTGCACCACAGACTCAACAATGCACCATAGACTCAACACTGCACCATAGACTCAACACTGCCCATAGACTCAACACTGCCCATAGACTCAACACTGCACCAGAAACTCAACACTGCCCATAGACTCAACACTGCACCATAGACTCAACACTGCACCGTAGACTCAACACTGCCCCATAGACTCAACACTGCACCATAGACTCAACACTGCACCATAGACTCAACACTGCCCCATAGACTCAACACTGCACGATAGACTCAACACTGCCCCGTAGACTCAACACTGCACCATAGACTCAACACTGCACCATAGACTCAACACTGCACCATAGACTCAACACTGCACCACAGACTCAACAATGCACCATAGACTCAACACTGCACCATAGACTCAACACTGCCCATAGACTCAACACTGCCCATAGACTCAACACTGCACCAGAGACTCAACACTGCCCATAGACTCAACACTGCACCATAGACTCAACACTGCACCATAGACTCAACACTGCACCATAGACTCAACACTGCACCATAGACTCAACACTGCACCATAGACTCAACACTGCACCATAGACTCAACACTGCACCATAGACTCAACACTGCACCATAGACTCAACACTGCACCATAGACTCAACACTGCACTATAGACTCAACACTGCCCCATAGACTCAACACTGCCCATAGACTCAACACTGCACCATAGACTCAACACCGCACCGTAGACTCAACACTGCCCCGTAGACTCAACACTGCACCATAGACTCAACACTGCCCCATAGACTCAACACTGCACGATAGACTCAACACTGCCTGTAGACTCAACACTGCACCATAGACTCAACACTGCCCATAGACTCAACACTGCACCATAGACTCAACACTCCAACATAGACTCAACACTGCACCAAAGACTCAACACTGCCCATCGACTCAACACTGCACCATAGACTCAGCACTGCACCATAGACTAAACACTGCACCATAGACTCAACACTGCACAATAGACTCAACACTGCTCCGGAGACTCAACAATGCACCAGAGACTCAACACCGCCCATACAGAGAGGCGTAACCCCCCACCCAGCGCGACCACCCCCCCCCCCCCACCCCCCCACACGGTCATGCCGCCACCTTCGATGGGCTTGGGCAGGAAGTGCGCACAGGGCTTGGTCTTCTTCACGTGATTCCCCTTCATGGGCCCTCCGTCCTTGCCCAGGCCCAGGAACCAGGAGCGGCCCGATTCGTGCTGCTTGTAGAGGGTGGAGGCGTAGATGACGTAGTAGTTCTGGTACACCGATTCCTTGAAGCGGCACTCCGGGGTGAAGCGTTCCTGATGACGTGGGGGGGGGGGTTATGGGGGGGGGGAACGCACCGTGGCGCATCAATAAAATAAAGGTGGTGCCGCTTTTGTCGGGCGGTGGTGGCTGTGGTGGTGGTGGGGGATGTGTTGGTGGTAGTGGTGCTGTGGTGGTGGCTGTGGTGGTGGTGGTGGCTGTGGCGGTGGTGGTGGTGGCGGTGGCAGTGGTGGTGGCTGTGGTGGTGGTCGCTGTTCCGGCATCGGCGCATCCACACAACATCATGGATGCCTGCCGGGTCCAAGCAAGAACATCTGCTGGACTACATAGTGACGGACCAGCGGATGCGGGTCCATGTCCTTGAGACCAGGACCTACCGTGGAGCTGATCTGGCTTCTGACCATCGACTTGTCATCTGTAAGATACGCCTGCCATTCTTCCACTCCGGTGGTGGGTGTACACCCAGGACGCCATTCAAATATAAGGTGGCCTGGTCTCAGCAAGCTGATGAATGTTGCAAGCGAGAATTTCATCATCGCTCGCGGCTGAGGTTGGCATCGTCCCCCACTCCTCCAGACGTCGAGGGTAAATGGGCGAGGTTTAGGACTGTGACTCAGGCAGCTGCAATGGCTGCTTTGGGTATGCGGTCCAGACCTCCCCAGAGACCCTGGCTGGCAGAGGAGGTGTTCAGCATGGTTGAGAAAAAACGACAGGCCCACTCTAATCGGCTGCATCATCCCATGTCAGAGAATGAGAAGGCTTACTGCAACCTTCGCTTTGAGGTTCAGAGAGCCATGAGGTGCTGCAAGGATGGGTGGTGGTCGCGGGTTGCTCAGGAGATGGAGTCTACCTCAATGGCCCACGATCACAAATCTCTATTTAACTCCATAAAAAAAGTAACTTGCAGCACCACACCTATTACCATAATTAGGGGAAAAAACGGTGATCCAATCTCCGACCCCCAGCATTTCTGTGAAGTCCTGCGGGAGGGGAAATCTCTCGACATGGAAAACATCGTGGGACAAAGTGGGGATGACCCTGCTGAGGCTGCGGTGCCTCAAATATTAGAAGAAGTCACCCTCTGTGAGTGGCTGGCTGAGGTGTCAACTGTTGAGGAAGTACTAAAGGCGATCCAGAGTCTGAGACCGGGAAAGGCACCGGGCAGAGATGATCTCCCAAGCGAAATGCTGAAAGAGGGTGGCGTTTGTGCACAGACTGCCCTACATGACATCAAAACAGTCTGGACCACTGGATAGGTTCCGCAGGATTTGAAGGATGCCCTGCTGGTACCCCTCTTTAAGAAGGGGGACCGCACAGACTGCGGTCCCCCTTCTTAAAGAGGGGTACTACAGGGGTATCTCACTCCTCAGTGTGCTGGGAAAGGTCCTGGCAAGGATTATTCAACATTGCCTTACCAGGCACGCTGAGGAGAGGCTTGCGGAGCCCCAATGTGGTTTCAGGAAAGGGCGGTCCTGCACAGATGCCATATTTTCTGTCCGTTTGCTACAGCAGAGGTGTAGGGAATTCCAACAAGACCTACATCGCTGCGTTATTGACCTTTTCAAGGCCTATGATTTCATCAGTAGGCCTGGGCTCTGGGTTGTTCTTCGTGCTTCCGGAGTCCCTGACCCTCTGCTCACGATCATGAAGGACGTTCATGATGGTGAGCGGGCCCGGGTAAAACTACGTGGCCGGGAGTCGGAGCCATTCCCTGTTCACCTTGGGGTGCAACAGGGATGTCCTCTGGCTCCAACATTTAACATATTTTTCGACCACATAGATCGTGAAGCCTTTGATGGCTGTACCTGAGGAATTTCAATCTGGTACAGATACAATGGGAGGCTGATCAATGCCCGGGTGCAGTCAAGAGATGGCTCCCTATTGGTCAACTACGTTATGTATGCTGATGATCTGGTAATTTCCGCTCACTCAGAGGAGGAGTTGGAGGCGCTGCTGCTGAAACTGGAGCGTGCCACGAAGAGGTGGGGCCTTACCATCAGCCCCACCAACACTAAGCACCTGCCTAGGTATTTTGTACCATCGGGCGCTCCACCCCCACAACTCCCAATCGGTGATGGAGAAGTTGTGGAGAGAGTGGAGAGTTTCCCATACCTGGGCAGTGTGCTTATGACCGGCTCTGGATTGACAGCAGAGGTCTCACTCAGAATCAGTCGAGCGGCAATATCTTTTCATCGGTTGCGTAATGCTGTGTGGAAACTACCTGGTATGTCACTCCAAGTCTTCTCGGCCACGGTCATTCCCTCCCTTCTCTACGCTTGCGAAACATGGAGCATCTTCGCCGATTGGAAACATTTAGGCTGGCCTGCCTACGATCCATCCTCGGTTTAACCAGGCTGGATTGTGTGAGGAGCTCAAAAATCCTTGAAAGATCTGTGCAAGGTCCCATCGGTGAGCTCCTCCGGCAGGCAAGGCTGCGTTGGCTGGGTCATGTAGCCCACATGCCCAGTCACCGCATGCCTAAACAGCTTTTGTTTGCCGGATCGAGGGGGCTAAACGGGTGCGGCACGGGCTAGAGAAGAGATGGAGTGATGTGGTATAGGAGGACGTGGAGCTGAGTGGACTTGCCAATTACTGGTACCAGCGGTGTCAAGATCGGCCTCTGTGGAGGAGGCTCGTGAAAGACGCTGCTGGGCAGTTGGAGGCAGTCGCCCTCCAACAACAACGGAGGGCGGAGGAGCGATGCTCACAACAACGAGCGGACCGCCGGGTGGCTAAAGCATGGCAAATTGTAACAGCAGGAGGGACAGGTGGTGCATCAGCTACTCATCTCAGTCAGTCGACCCGTGGCACTTGGGTCTGCCCCGTGACCTCCTGCCAGCGGGCGTTCGACACTTCACGTGGCCTCAAGGTGCACATGGCCTGGCACAAGCGTTGTGGTGACGTCACCGCCACTTAGTGGCGAATGGCGGTTGTTGTTGTTGTTGTGGTGTTGGTTGCTGTCGTCGTGATGTTGGTGGTGGCTGTGGTGTTAGTGGCTGTCGTGGTCGTGGCGGTGGCTGTGGTGGTTGCGATGCCTGCCCACACCCTTGCCCTGCCCCCGTGCCCCCGTGACCCCGTGCCCCCGTGACCCCGTGCCCCTGTGCCCCCCCCACCGAGGTGTAGAGGAAGCCGCTGACGTTCATGGCGATGTAGAGGCCGGACTTTACTCCCTGGATGGCGACGACGCGGAGGCCCACGGGGATCAGGTTAAAGAGCGCTGCACACAGAGAGCACACACACACACAGAAAGCACACACACACAGAGCACACACACACACAGAGGGGATCAGGTTAAAGAGCGCTGCACACAGAGTGCACAGAGCACACACAGAGCACATACACATACACAGAGCAGACACACACACAGAGCACACACACACACAGAGAACACACACACACACAGAGCACACACACAGAGAGAGGGGAGCAGGTTAAAGAGCGCTGCACACAGAGAGCGCACACACACACAGAGCACATGCACACACAGAGAGCACACACACACAGAGCACACACACACACAGAGAGCACACACACACACAGAGCACACACACACACAGAGAGCACACACACACAGAGCACACACACACAGAGAAAGCACACACGCACAGAGAGCACATACACACACATAGAGCACATACACACACACACAGAGCACACACACACAGAGCACACACACACACAGAGCACACACACACAGAGCACACACACACACACACAGAGCACACACACACACAGAGGGGATCAGGTTAAAGAGCGCTGCACACAGAGAGCACACACACACACAGAGCACACACACACACACAGAGACACACACAGAGCACACACACACACACACAGAGCACACACACACACACACAGAGCACACACACACACAGAGCACACACACACAGAGAGACACACACAGAGCACACACACACATAGAGCACACACACACACAGAGAGCACACACACACACACAGAGCACACACACACAGAGCACACACGCACACAGAGCACACACACACACAGACACACACACACAGAGCACACACACACACACAGAGCACACACACACATAGAGGGGATCAGGTTAAAGAGCGCTGCACACAGAGAGCACACACACACAGAGCACACACAAAGAGCACACACACACACAGAGCACACACACACACACAGAGCACACACACACACAGAGCACACACACACAGAGCACACACACACAGAGCACACACACACAGATGGTGTAGTGGGTGTAGTGGTGGGCAGAGTGGTTGTAGTGGGTGGAGTGGGGGGCAGGGTGGGTGAAGTGAGTGGAGTGGGGGGCAGAGTGGTTGTAGTGGGTGGAGTGGGGGACAGGGTGGGTGGAGTGGGGGGCAGGGTGGTTTTAGTGGGTGGAGTGGGGGGCATAGTGGTTGTAGTGGGTGGAGTGCGGGGTAGGGTGGGTGTAGTGGGTGGCAGGGTGGGTGGGTGTAGTGGGTGGCAGGGTGGCTGGGTGTAGTGGGGGGCAGGGTGGGTGTAGTGGGTGGCAGGGTGGGTGGGTGTAGTGGGTGGCAGGGTGGGTGTAGTGGGTGGCAGGGTGGGTGTAGTGGGTGGCAGGATGGGTGTCGTGGTGTAGTGGGGGGTGGAGTGGGTGGATGGTGGGGGTGAGTGTAGTGGGTGGCAGGGTGGGTGTAGTGGGGGGCAAGATGGGTGTCGTGGTGTAGTGGGGGGTGGAGTGGGTGGATGGTGGGGGTGAGTGTAGTGGGTGGCAGGGTGGGTGTAGTGGGGGGCAGGATGGGTGTCGTGGTGTAGTGGGGGGTGGAGTGGGTGGATGGTGGGGGTGAGTGTAGTGGGTGGCAGGGTGGGTGTAGTGGGGGGCAGGATGGGTGTCGTGGTATAGTGGGGGGTGGAGTGGGTGGATGGTGGGGGTGGGTGTAGTGGGGGGCAGGATGGGTGTCGTGGTGTAATGGGGGGGTGGAGTGGGTGGATGGTGGGGGTGAGTGTAGTGGGTGGCAGGGTGGGTGTAGTGGGGGGCAGGATGGGTGTCGTGGTATAGTGGGGGGTGGAGTGGGTGGATGGTGGGGGTGGGTGTAGTGGGGGGCAGGATGGGTGTCGTGGTGTAATGGGGGGTGGAGTGGGTGGATGGTGGGGGTGGGGAGCGACTTGCCAAGGTGACACGCGCTGTCATTATTATTATTAACCGGCGCGTCGGAGAGATTCCAGTAGCACAAAGATCACCACAACCGCCACCAATTGACATCGCTACCATCACACTCATCACTCTCACCACTACCATCATCATCATCATTCATCATCACTACCATCATCATCACTGTCACTACCATCATCATCATCACTGTCACTGCCATCACGCTCATCACTCTCACCATTCATCATCACTACCATCATCATCATTCATCATCACTACCATCATCATCATTCATCATCACTACCATCATCATCACTGTCACTAACATGACACTCATCACTCTCACCATTCATCATCACTACCATCATCATCATCATTCATCATCACTACCATCATCATAATCATTCATCATCACTACCATCATCATCACTGTCACTACCATCATCATCATCACTGTCACTGCCATCACGCTCATCACTCTCACCATTCATCATCACTACCATCATCATCATCACCATTCATCATCACTACCATCATCATCACTGTCACTACCATCACACTCATCACTCTCACCATTCATCATCACTACCATCATCACCATTCATCATCACTACCATCATCATCATCACTGTCACTACCATCATCATCATCACTGTCACTGCCATCACGCTCATTACTCTCAACATTCATCATCACTACCATCATCGTCATCACCATTCATCATCACCACCATCATCATCGTCACTAACATCACACTCATCACTCTCACCATTCATGATCACTACAATCATCATTATCATAAGTCATCATCACTACAATCATCATCACTGTCACTAAAATCACACGCATCACTCTCACCATTCATGATCATTACCATCATCATCATTCATCATCACTACCATCATCATTCATCATCATTACCATCATCATCACTGTCACTACCATCATCATCACTGTCACTACCATCATCATCATAATCACTGTCATTACCATCACGCTCATCACTCTCACCATTCATGATCACTACCATCATCATCATCATCACTGTCACTACCATCACGCTCATCACTCTCACCATTCATCATCACTACCATCATCATCATCATTCATCATCACTACAATCACTAACATCATCATCACTGTCACTACCATGATCATCATCACTGTCACTGCCATCACACTCATCACTCTCACCATTCATCATCACTACCATCATCATCATCACTGTCACTACCATCACGCTCATCACTCTCACCATTCATCATCACTACCATCATCATCATCAACATTCATCATCACTACAATCATCATCACTGTCACTACCATCACACTCATCACCATCGTCACTACCATCACACTCATCACCACCATCATCACCGTCACTAACATCACACTCATCACGCTCACCATTCATCATCACTACCATCATCATCATCATCACTGCCACTACCATCATCATCACTGTCACTACCATCACACTCATCACCATCGTCACTACCATCACACTCATCACCACCATCATCATCGTCACTAACATCACAGTCATCACCATTGCTATCAAACTTATGACTTATCGTCCTGGGTCTGGGTGTCTCTCAATCTCTCAGGGGGTTCACAATGGCCGTGTCAAAGACACTGAGATCCTGGATTCAAGCCCTGGGTCTGGGTGTCTCTCTCTCTCAGGGGGTTCACAATGGCCGTGTCAAAGACACTGAGATCCTGGGTTCAAGCCCTGGGTCTGGGTGTCTTTCTCTCTCAGGGGGTTCACAATGGCCGTGTCACACACACTGAGAACCTGGGTTCAAGCCCTGGGTCTGGGTGTCTCTCTCTCTCAGGGGGTTCACAACGGCCGTGTCACAGACACTGAGATCCTGGGTTCAAGCCCTGGGTCTGGGTGTCTCTCTCTCTCAGGAGGTTCACAATGGCCATGTCAGAGACACTGAGAACCTTGGTTTCAAGCCCTGGGTCTGGGTTTCTCTCTCTCTAAGGGGGTTCACAATGGCCGTGTCACAGACACTGATGGTCTGGGTTCAATCCCTGGGTCTGGGTGTCTCTCTCTCTCTCTCAGGGGGTTCACAATGGCCGTGTCACAGACACTGAGATCCTGGGTTCAAGCCCTGGGTCTGGGTGTCTCTCTCTCAGGGGGTTCACAACGGCCGTGTCACAGACACTGAGAGTCTGGGTTCAAGCCCTGGGTCTGGGTGTCTCTCTCTCTCAGGGGGTTCACGATGGCCGTGTCCAAGACACTGAGATCCTGGGTTCAAGCCCTGGGTCTGGGTGTGTCACTCTCTCAGAAGGTTCACAATGGCCGTGTCACACACACTGAGGACCTGGGTTCAAGCCCTGGGTCTGGGTATCTCTCTCTCAGGGGGTTCACAACGGCCGTGTCACAGACACTGAGATCCTGGGTTCAAGCCCTGGGTCTGGGTGTCTCTCTCCCTCAGGAGGTTCACAATGGCCATGTCAGAGACACTGAGAACCTTGGTTTCAAGCCCTGGGTCTGGGTTTCTCTCTCTCTAAGGGGGTTCACAATGGCCGTGTCACAGACACTGAGAGTCTGGGTTCAAGCCCTGGGTCTGGGTGTCTCTCTCTCTCAGGGGGTTCATAATGGCCGTGTCACAGACACTGAGATCCTGGATTCAAGCCCTGGGTCTGGGTGTCTCTCTCTCTCTCTCTCAGGGGGTTCACAATGGCCGTGTCACAGACACTGAGAGTCTGGGTTCAAGCCCTGGGTCTGGGTGTCTCTCTCTCTCACGGGGTTCACGATGGCCGTGTCACAGACACTGAGAGTCTGGGATCAAGCCCTGGGTCTGGGTGTCTCTCTCTCAGGGGGTTCACAATGGCCGTGTCACAGACACTGATTACCTGGGTTCAAGCCCTGGGTCTGGGTGTCTCTCTCTCTCTCAGGGGGTTCACGATGGCCATGTCACAGATACTGAAATCCTGGGTTTAAGCCCTGGGTCTGGGTGTCCCTCTCTCTCAGGGGGTTCATAATTGCCGTGTCAGAGACAATGAGATCCTGGGTTCAAGCCCTGGGTCTGGGTGTCTCTCTCAGGGGGTTCACGCTGGCCGTGTCACAGACACTGAGAGTCTGGGTTCAAGCCCTGGGT